TATAATGTTTAAGGAACAAAAAATGTTTTTTTTATTTGCAGATCCGTTTACTACACCAAACATTACAATGATCTGTCTGTTAACGTCATGAAACCGTTCCGTAAATATAGACTGGGTGTCGAGTGGTTGCCAAAATGATGCATGCTATTTTACACGTAATGACGTTAACAAAAGTTGTATATTTTTCAACTATTTATCACTGTACAAAATGTTAGCATCCTGCATTGAATAGTGCTAGTGTTGCTTCCACAGCAGACGTTCTAACGAACACCATGCTTGTATTGTTCATTGCAAAATAATGGTGACAAAGACGTGATGTTCAAACCGAGTTTCATAAGAATGATACGATTGGTTCAAAGCTTATACGATGGCCGATGGACACACCAATAAACAAGAACTTGATTATATCGAAATGTTCCCTTCCTTGTAAATGAGTAATTCTTGGGTTGTTTAAGGATTATGGCTCATCCACTCTTGTATTAATTGCTACATTTATCAACTGTACAGGTCTTAGAGCGTTAAGTGTTCATAAAATTATGAATAATCAATTGAAAAGCATTTGGAACGATGGTACTAAAGAAAATCACGAAAATCCTCAGTCATGACACCTGTTACCCAGACAGAAATTTAAAAGCGGAAACCTCGAATACTGAACAGAAATACTGATCATTCCGCCACAGAAACTGCTGGGTTTACATAGGATCGTGTAGGAAGATGGTCGCGAATGGTGAAAGAAATTTGGACGAAAGCTATAGTAACGATTTGAAGGTACAATAGCATAATTCGCTTGTAGATACTGAGGAAAATCATGAAAACTCAATCCCGATAGCTGGCCTCCGATTCTATCCCACTGGTACACAATTTTATACGCCGAACGTACATTGTTCGGTGTAATCTTTTCTACTTTGTATTCCAGAAATCGGCCAGGTTGAGCCTCTGATCCGAGGCTCTCCTGAATTGGTTTCTGTGGTTTTAATAGTCCACGACCGCCTCCTTATACCTCCTTCTGAAGTTCATCATTCAGATTTCATCCTCATCAGAAGAGCTATCATCGCAGTAAACTCCTCTGAAACCTCATTAAACTTCAACCAGACTACGCGGTGCAATAACCCACACTGTCCGTCTTGTGAACCTGAAATATCACTCATCGTGTCTATAATGTTTAAGGAACAAAAAATGTTTTTTTTATTTGCAGATCCGTTTACTACACCAAACATTACAATGATCTGTCTGTTAACGTCATGAAACCGTTCCGTAAATATAGACTGGGTGTCGAGTGGTTGCCAAAATGATGCATGCTATTTTACACGTAATGACGTTAACAAAAGTTGTATATTTTTCAACTATTTATCACTGTACAAAATGTTAGCATCCTGCATTGAATAGTGCTAGTGTTGCTTCCACAGCAGACGTTCTAACGAACACCATGCTTGTATTGTTCATTGCAAAATAATGGTGACAAAGACGTGATGTTCAAACCGAGTTTCATAAGAATGATACGATTGGTTCAAAGCTTATACGATGGCCGATGGACACACCAATAAACAAGAACTTGATTATATCGAAATGTTCCCTTCCTTGTAAATGAGTAATTCTTGGGTTGTTTAAGGATTATGGCTCATCCACTCTTGTATTAATTGCTACATTTATCAACTGTACAGGTCTTAGAGCGTTAAGTGTTCATAAAATTATGAATAATCAATTGAAAAGCATTTGGAACGATGGTACTAAAGAAAATCACGAAAATCCTCAGTCATGACACCTGTTACCCAGACAGAAATTTAAAAGCGGAAACCTCGAATACTGAACAGAAATACTGATCATTCCGCCACAGAAACTGCTGGGTTTACATAGGATCGTGTAGGAAGATGGTCGCGAATGGTGAAAGAAATTTGGACGAAAGCTATAGTAACGATTTGAAGGTACAATAGCATAATTCGCTTGTAGATACTGAGGAAAATCATGAAAACTCAATCCCGATAGCTGGCCTCCGATTCTATACCCTATCCCGCTATCAGGTGAAGTGCGAAGCAGGAATTATTACGACATTTAGCATCAACGTTCAGTTTAAAACCGTACATTAGTGGGCTCAGAGAAATGTCTGTCTTTTTCATCCGCCGTCTTCGAACAGAGACCTATAAATTTCCGTTAAATTATACAAACTTCATCGACTGTAGCGTGGAATCTTGGAAGCCGGATAGTAGTAATCCGGCTGGGATCCGAACACAGTGACCCCCCCCTCCCCCACTTCCCTGACGTTAATCCAACTTAATCCATTGCGTAAGAACAGTTTAATTAAATGTAAAAGTTATTATACATTTCTGTAACCACTCGTTCCCTTGTCATTTCATAATTCATGATTATGGTCTGTATGTTATATCCTCGTTCATACAGCCCCCTTTTATAATAAAAATGTAGTATCTGGCTTATGTACAGACAACGTGTTGTAGTGGATAAGAAGTTTAGTTTTGTAATCGACTTCCTAACTGACTCCACCTGTCCACAAAATAAATTTTAAATTGACAGTAGTGGAAAGGTGTGATATAAATTACATTACGCCTGCGTATACCGTATTTTCTTGATTTTAAACAGCACTTTTTCACATTTTTGAAATTTCTGAAATAGGGGTGTGTCTTACATTTGATGGTGTCTAAGAATCGATGTTAAACAATAATATCGTATGGCTAAAACACAGGGAAAATCTTCGTGTCCGTAACACTAGCCATGGGGCTGCAAATACAAAGTCAGCAGCAAAGAAGATTCAAAAATCAATAATACAGATATTATTTATTTTTTGAATATTGACAAAATCCTTTTGTTGTATACATATTTTATCCCCTGAAAACATATTACTAAATCATTGGTGCGTCGTACAATGGATGGCGTCTTAAAATAGAGGAAATACGGTATTTCCCGAATAATTTATTTACCTTTTCGATTATCGTGTATTGTTCATCGCCGCTGCTGCAGCCCTCTATGATGAGCTTTGTCTGTTTGGGTACAGTTTACTTTGTCCTCATATACATTTGGTAGGACTGCATAGGCGGGATCAAGACAGAACAACACAGAAAGAAGCGAATACACATCCATGTCTTAAGTGGAACCATGCCTTAAGCCGCGAGGGCGCTGTGTTTGACTTTTAGTGATGGTAGGAACTGCAGATACAAATATACTCCTGCAAAGCTATTCCCACTTCTTGATCTCGATTTTTTATTTTATTTCGTTTACTATCTTATCAGAATTCGTGATTGCCAGATAAAAATTTAATGACGTGAATGACATATGCGCATGGGCTTGACATAAATCTGAAGAGCAGGAAAAGAGCTATTATTTTATCTCGTGGTATCAATGGAAATGCCTTCGCAATCGTAGTGAATATTTCTGTAACACTCTTTTATATTGCATTATGACTTATCGGTTCAGTTAACATTTTAATATTTTTATAGGTCTGTCTAATATTTGTGTTAATTTACCCCCATAAATTTTAAAATTATTTTAATCGAAATGTAAAGCAAAAAAAGTGCCAATTATGTTGAAAACGGCGTTAAATACTATGAAATCAATGCATTCATCTAGAGAAATACAGCTCCCAAACAATAATCATAGACAATATATCGTCATAAGTAACATTGCCGCATTTGGGTTTTTTTTCAGATGCACAATTTATATGAAAATGTTTAAACCAAAGCAGATATTATTAGGATGATCAAATACAGAAATATGGGGTAAATGAGACGTGTAGCACGCATGACAGCTCAGAAATGCATACACGATTTTAGCCGGAGAGCCTGAATGTAAGAAATCACTTGGAAGACATGTGAGTATATTATTATTATTATTTAGTGTTCTGTCTTACGACAGGTCCATTGCTCTGCCCAAAGTTTTCATGTGAGTATACAGGATGATATTATTAAAATGGCTCTGGGAGAAATGATTTGTGAGGTTGATGACTGAACTCGACTGCCTTAGGACAGGGACCAATGGCGGGCCCTTGTGGGAGACGGTAATTTAACTTGTGTACCATAATGATATGGAATTCATTGAATAGCTGAGCAACTATTTGTTTCTCAAGAAGAACACTGCTTCCTTCTGCAGCTTATGTAATACACATTTCATAATAAACCTTGTAATAACCAGTGCTGTTGATAAAGCGTCGTTTAAGAAAAATAACTGGTATTTTTTTCACCGACTATTGCAATGTAACACAATGAGTTTACGAAATTTTTAGTGTAGAAGTCTTTCGTCAGATTTCAAAGAGTAAAGTTTGATGTTGGTTTTCATGTTTAAGCCTAGCGATGAATAGGGGACGTTCAGGTGCAGCTAAACCTCTCCACCGTTTAATGATGAGTTGTTCGTTTCATGCAGTCTCTTCTGTGCCCAGAGGGCTTCCGGTGTCACTCAAAATGTAAAATACGAGAGTAGTACTTGAAATTTTCGCGGTGGTTTATGACGTCAGGCAACCATTCTGCGGGCGTAACATGTCTCCAATAAGCGACCAGGAGAAAAAAAAGCATCGTCAGTTTTATTTGAGAAGGAACACCGACCCAGTTCCCCTCCAGCCCCCGGAAACATGAGCAGCAAAGCGTCAGTTATACCAACTGGATACGAGAATGGGATGATTCGTTTGCCGACCTGGACTCAGCAGCGAAAACACCCTGCCCCTGTTATGAATCGAACCGAGATCGAGTTTATAAAGCCTTAAATAGTACAATATTCGACTGATATTGGGGAAGGTTGTCTGAATTAGTAATTTTTTACCGGAATTAAATGACGTAAATGTATGTATGTTTTCAAGTCTAGTTGACAAAAATAAGCAAATTGGTTCACAATCCAGCATCATGTTTAAAAGGTGGTAGTGGGACACAAATGTGATTAAACTGAAGAGAAAACTTTACCAAAACATAATTAGTACATTAGTAAAAAGACTACATACATACATTCCGAATTATAGAGAGTCCGAATCGAATAGGTTTTACTGTTTCATAAAATTTGTAACTCACCTGAAAGAACAGACAGAAACACACCCACTGGTAATATCTGTAATATTTCTGGTCGTCTGTTCTACCACGGGAATTATCAACTCCTTTGAATGGGACATCTTTTCCCACGGTTTTGTTAAACGCTGACTTGAGAGTGTAGGTGGAATGGATCCAGCAGAACGTGTTTAGGACATCCTCAGGTATATCTTTGGTATGGACACAGTCTATGGGATTCCCCACGTATTGTCTTGTCGTCACAATGAGGCTGAATGCAATTAGCATCATCACGGTGATACTGTAATGTAGTCTGAACACTGGTGAGTCGATATGAATATGGCTGACTTTGATGAGGTTCTTTAGACCCCGGAAAATGTCCAGCATGTTGTAGCAGTCAGTTATCTAATCCATCCACACGTCAGTCATATTTCGGCACCCATATTTTAGCTTAATAATTAGTCTTATTAATTATTTTTAAGAATTTTAATTTATATCCGATGCGCGCACGCCACTACGTTGCTTGAATTAACACTTTCGTAAAGTGATTTCAATAACTGGTGTGTCCGCTGATGTGATTTTACTTAGTAATTTCACTGTTTATCTTCTTTATTTTTTTGAAAATTCACTGTAATTTTATTTTCGTCATTAACTCCACGACGTCTTTAAGTTTTATATTGAACTTTATCTGTGTTTCTTTTAATATCGCCCAACATATACACACACAGTTGTAAGTTAGTATGTTTTCACCGTTGTAGACATAACATACAATAATGTCAATGCGTTACTGTTTTAAATTTTCAATTCGAACTTTATTTCTATGCCTATTTTGACAGTTTAATATTTGTTCGCTTGGAACTAAATATTACCTAGTACACAAAGGCTAACACCTGTAATATCTCTTCGTGATGGGAAATTTCATTACCTAAAAATAACAGGGATATTGAGTAAGCATGTAGTTTCAAAATTACCACATTCACGTGTTCTTTAGTGGTTTCTTAATACAAAAATTAAGTTGTGTGTTACGATGAAGCAGCGTTCTGTAATTGTTGTTGTCCAAATAAACCGTCTTTTCCGTCAGGCGCTTACACAAGTTTCATGTACAAAAGTGCATACTGCATTACGACATGGCGCATGTCAGAAAGGCACCGAACTTTCAGGTAACTTAACTGCTGCATACATATATATGATGTATAAACACTGAATACAATGCAAGTAGTTTTTGTCTTCATATCTTTTAGGCACAGGAAGACTTCTTTTCTTACGAGATCGAGCAATGTTCCATTGATTAATTACAATAATTAATTTCCTTCAGTGGCATTATGCATATCTAATATAGTTTTAATACGATGTATTCAAAGCCTCGAATCTTCAATGCATCGGTTCGATGTGTGTCAGCAACTGTTCTCTCTTCTTTGTTATAAATATGGATAAAAGTGCTGCTCGACGGTCTGCGATGTTTGATGGCACATATTTTAACATCTACAAATATATAAGCCATCTCTTTCTTTTTGTAACGTCTGTCCCTCTCTCTGTCTTCTTAATGAAACAATTGAACGACTGAAGAAAACAATTACAAGATTTGATAATTTTTTGTAATATAGAAAAAAATAATAACTGCTCGTTCAAGAAGACAGACTTTCAGTCCTCTGCGTCTCTCCGATCAACGGCTGTTCCGTTATGCAAGATTGTTCATAACTAAGCTACCATGTGAACTAGCTAAACCTTGGCTTCCTAACATACTAACATTTTCTTTGCGGATGTTTAGATGACGTGTTAAAAGTTCGCCCAGTAACTGTCTAGTAAATAAAGTCCTTCACGCATTTGCACATAACCCAGTTTGAACTCGATTCTTAAAACAACTGGATATTTATTGAATTGTTTGCCTTTACACACCTCCCATTGTAGTTAAATGTCAGTATCTTACGTACGCTTTCATGTTAGAAGTGAACGTGTTATGCTAAAGTAATTAAGTTCACACGGTTTGTTAGGAATGCTGGCAATTCCTCGTTTTAATATGAAAACACTTTTCATAATTTAAATTAATTAGCGCCAAAGTTGATGCAATGACCTTCCGATTCACGGTTCCCTGGTAGGTGTTGTCTAATTCACTATATTTCCAGATGCGTGTTGAATCACCGAATATGAGTTAGGAAATAAAACTTTTAGCTCAGAACCAGTTTATAAATCACTTGTTTGGACAATTTTCTAGGGTTCCCTAATTTCAGGATTGGAACAAATTCAGTTCTAATATAACTTTACTTTTTCTTGCAGTTATAAACACAATCCTCTTGAAAATGTATCTTCATCACGTGATGGCCGCCATCATCTTGTTAGAAGCAATTTAACCATTACTTGCCATCCTAACTTCCACTGTCTCCAATGAAGTGGGAACACTATTTTTGCATTATTAAATATCCACATTATGTTGCAGGATAGTTGCAAGATATCACCCCTTCAACTACACTCGGTTGTGCCTTATAAACTAAGTTACATGATTGAAGGCAGGCTCGATGTTTTCTTGCTTCAAACCAAAACTCGTTACATTTCGTCTCCTTTTATCGGATGAATCATTACCACGACAGCGGGTATCAGCAGGCGTCTGTTTCCCACTACCAGCAACACGTCCGTGTCACACACACATGGTGTTTGAACCCCGAAATACAACGACGACCAGGGCGGCAGAAACGGTCCTCTGTTGTTCGGGGAGGCTGTCCAACTGACGGGCCCCACTTCCCTGTCACCTCAGGTGGATACATTCTTCCTCCATATGTTAGATCCTCTGTATACAACATCCCTCCCCGCTTCATACATCTTCAGCTTTTTCTCAATATATTTCTCTCCCTTCTCTTTACTTCTAAATCTAAAATGTCTAAAAATGTCTTCGGCAAGTCTCGGCAGTTTTCGGCGGCTACTACCGCTGCATGTAGTATATATGTATATTCCTCCAACTTCTCCGTTGTTAGGTCTAGCGTACTTTTATTTTTAACTTAGCTCGGCTTCCCCTTGCGCGTTACAGAGACTTAATTTAATGTTCGCTAAGTCTGATAAGTTTATGTTACCATTTTCCAAGCAGACGGATCGAGGTTCCATTTTTATGCGTTCATAAAATGCATAAACAGAAAGCATAATGGGAGAACATGGCTGTCTGTCCGTCTATCCGCGTGTCTCATCTCAGAAAGCATTTAAGAGATTTCTGGTATTTGGGAAGTATACAGACTGATGCGGTCCAATATAACCTAGAGTTCATGACGAACTGTTCGTTGCATACAAAAATATGTGCATAACAAAGAATATAGACCTTATAGGAACTACAGCTTTTATATTATTTGTAACATGTTTTTCTGTTGTTTATATTTAATTAAATAAAGTAAAAAACAATCTTTGTCTTTAACATTCGATTGCGCAATACGGGAACATCGCTGTTAATGAAATACGTAACCTCGCAGAGAAAAGCATTTCAAAAATGTGTGTGTACTATGTTTTGGATTTCACCTTGTTATTCTTCTTAAATTTAGTATTTTTCGTGTATAATTAAATCCAAGTACATTAGAATTCAAAGATAAATGTTTTCTTTAGTGAGATCATATGAGGTTTCAAACATGTGATTACTATATGTAATTTAACTATGATATCTCAACTGTGAAGCCCCTGAAAGTATTGGGAACGAGGTATTTCATATTAAAATCTGTTTTTCCTCCATGTTCATGTAAGAGGTATACGTAAAGAGTAAAATCTACCGCCATCTATTGGCGGTTTTAATTACATGCTACTGCTTGAAGTCTTTCACTAATGAAAGTTCAAGTTACAAAATGCTGACGTATGGATGGTTGTGCTTATACATCTTTTTGGGACATCCTGTAGAAATGTGCAAGCAAGAACGTGAATTGCTTCAAAAAGTTCAATCAAAGATCAACAATAGTGATGATAAAATGTGAAGGTTTGGAGTTGAGAATTGTAATCTTTAATTGGATGATTTGTAACAGGCGGCTAAGTAAACTTCCTCTTGGAGTTCTTAATAGCATTCCATTCCATGTTACAACAATAAATGTTGCTCGACATCATACTTATGGGATAGCAAATTATGAACCGCGAAGCGACTTCGATTAAATTTAGTGTCGAGAGTCTGCACAAAACGTTGTTGTGTGAATTGAAACTTTAGAATCGCTTCTTTAAATTAAACTAAAAAGTAATTTGTAGTTTTTCCTTCTGTCGTAACAGCAGGTGGACGATGTAAAGTCCAGTGTCGTATAGATTACAAAAAATTAAATCCGTTGAGCATCATACCGGAGAAACGTTTTGGTTAATAGCGTCGGATGATCCAATGATTTACGAAAAGAATACAGAAGAAAACGGACTTGCCTGGGAGGGCAGAGATTAACCACGAAAATCTCAGTCAGGAGAGCTGGCTCCTGACCAGTATCAGAACCCGGGACCGCCGGAGTACGAAGCAATAATTCTAACCACTCGATAGCAACCTTCGAATTGGTCAGTCGGTTAAACAAAAACTCACTTATGACAGTCTTCAGTGGTTGGCTTGTGCGATGGACTATAAATTTTGATTCCATTGAAGCACGAGATTTCTTGATAAAGTTTACTATCAGCTGTTCAAAATGAGTTTTTTAACTAATCAATTATCTAATCAGTGAACCCATCCAGCCAATTACAAGTACCTCCGCACTTTGAATTTCTTTGTTTGTAAGTGCCGTGATTTTTGAGGAAGAGAGCTGCAGTTTGCAAATGGTTATGGGCTAAAAATATCCAACGAAAAAAGCTGATATGAAACACACTGAAGTTCCTTAACCTTTTGCTCACAACGATGTTTCGTTGTTTGCTTAGATTATATCCCGCAGAATGATACGGTTGATGGATTTGAAGAGACATGACAGGAAGCAGTCGTGGTCTACTGTAGAAGTATTTAGCATTAGTGTTATACATCGGATTGCAGTTATTAAAAATGTCTCATAATAGACCGGAGACAGTAGCGTCGTTCTGTGACTCGTCTAGCTGTATTTTAAATTACCTGAATGAAGAGCGTGAATCCGACCCACTGGTAGTACTTGGTGAACTTCCCGTCTTCAGGCAAGTACTTGCTGCTGCGATCTACTCCAGGGAAGGGAACATCTACTCCCACTTTCTTGAAGAACGCACTGGGTATCGTGTACGTGGAATGAATCCAGCAGAATGCGTTCAGTACGCCCTGTGGAGCGTCCCTATGCGGACAAACACACTCGTTAATCGGAAAGCACATGGAAGGAAGCGATCGTGACCTTTCTCAGGCACTGTTCAACCATTGTCTTGAGAGAGCGAGGAAAATCATAAGAATCCTCAGGCAGGATATCCAGTCTTCGGGACACAATTCGAACCCGGGACCTTCCGAAAAATAAATGTCAGAGTGCCTAAACTATACAAAATTATCACCCGATCCTTTGGTTGCATATTGATCACCGCCACAGTTTCAACTGTACGGGTTTTGTAGCGACGGAAATAAGGTTGTGGAAGGAGGCAGTCGTGGCCTATTTGAATGTTTAATCCTGATAGTCGCAAAGAGGGACTGAGAAAAATCAGTATAAATCTCAGTAGGATGTCGTTAATACGGTTGAGTTTCGAAGCAGTTACTTTTCGAATAAAAGGAAGGAATGATAACCACTATTCTGCGACGTCGTAAGTGATTAAGTCATTCACTTTAATTAGTCGTGTTACTAATCAGATTAGATGGTCACTTAATTAGTTACTTAGCCAGCCAATTAATCCGCTAAATCTGTTAGTAAATCAGGTAACTGGGTATTAAACCCATTATGTAAACAGATAATCGGTCATTTATGTTGGTAAGACAATCAGTCGGCTAGTTAGGTGGGTGCATAATCGACAAGTGAGTCTGTGTTTTTGGTCTGTCGGCAAGTCGAAAGTGTGACAGTCTCCACAGGCCCGAGCAGCCTACCTGGTGTGGATGCAGTCGATGGGGTTGCCGACGTATTGGCGCCCAAGCACTGTGGCACTGAAGCTGAACAGCATGACCACAGTGGCAGACCAGTTGAGTCGGAACACCGCAGCGTCGATCTTGACACTGCCCACCTGCAGCAAGCAAGGCGCACAATTCGCTATGCTTTTCCTGCTACCACCAGTGACAAAGTTCAGCCTGTTTTTGTTTAACTTGGATCTCTATCGCAAATCGCATCCCACCTGAACACTTCCTTGTTTCAGACAGATTCCTGTTTAACGTAGTTACAGGCCGCTAACTTCTACATAAACACCACACAGTACAGATCGAATATACACCAACAGCAATTTGCCCTGCTGCTGTGAAGCACATATTTTGACTGTCTTTGCTTTCCTTATTCGTTGTTTATTCATTCTGTAGTATTTATCTTAACCCTTTCAAGGAAATCTCGTCGAAATAACATTTAGGAATTCAGTCCGTACCGCAAAGAAAACACAACACTTTACTGTTACAGATATATTTTTAATGCTGTTTAAGTAAATAATCGCTGTTTACACAATTAAATGAAACCTGCAAATACAAAATGTTGAGTTACTGACTGTATAGTTACCACTAGGCTGTAAAGGGTTAAAGTGTCCTGTACAAATATTTCTTTGCGTCTTATTTTCCTTTTTCCTCTCTTTCTGCCTGTATCACTCATGTTCTTTCTTCATGTCTTTACCTGTGGTCCATAAAATTATTCTACTTTTCCTTCTTCAGCATCACATTTTTCCTCCCTTGTTTTCTATCACCCTCTTTGTTCCCATTTTTTCTTTCTGTCTCCCCTTTTCCTTCCCTACTTTTCTAGTAGTCCATTAATGTGGTGTTCCACAATTGGTGTGCCGCGAATTTTATAAGAAATTATACACTCCCGCGTTATTGTTAGAAAAGGCAATGCGTGTTTGGCAAACTGGGGTGTGCAGCGAGTGATAAAAGTGTACTTTGCACAGTTATATTCCGGTGCAACATTATAACACAAAATACTACATATTAAATCAGAATATTTTTTTTAAAATTGTTGATTTCCTTCTTCTTCTTCTTTTTTTTTTATTCGAAGCAATTCTACATTACCTTCCACTCCCTGCTTTCGAGATAAATTTTCAGATAATCAGATTTGCGTGTTAGACATCTATAAATATATAGTTTGTGTTACTGTATGTCACTACTGGATATTTTAGAGATTAATGTAAATTAAGGCTATTAATTGACTGATATTGACAAAAATTAAATTTGCCCAGAAACGTTTGATGGAAAAACATTAAAACTATTCGAAGATTAGAGATGAACATAAACGTGTAGGTGCCTGGATAAGTATATGAGTACAAATAATACGCGAAATTATTCCAGATCATGGTAAAATTAAGAACTATTCTTCTGGATGCCCGAAAAATCGAAGTAAATGTTGATGGGTAAGCAGGTAGGAAATAATTAATCACTTTAAACAGTTAGATATAATAAAAATAGCATTTACCTGGGTAAAAGCTAATGCCCCGCGGACAGAATCCAACATGGCGTCAGTGCGTCGTGATGTTTTGACCCTTTAGAAGCTCAGCTCACACGCTATCAATAAACGGAAGTTCGCAAGGCGCACACTTTATTGGCATGGGATAACTATATTCCCCACACTTCGAAGTCCGTCTTAAACACAATGTACCATTCTGGAACTCCGATATTAGAAACCTTTCCCAGGACACCGTAGCGTATCCCAAAGTGGTCATGTTACTTTAACGTTTACCCACCTCTGGTCCAAGTGAATGTCTCCACAAGACTCTGAGAGAAACTGGTATAATGATCCTCACTGAAAGCAGGAGTTTTGTTTTTCGTTACTTAGTTTAAAATGCCGTATATGACTT